ATCTCAAAGCGATTTCAATTTCGAAGCTCCAGAGCGGTGTTTCTCTTTCTCTCTCCCTAGATCTCTCTCTATCAACCCTCTCAGAGTTTCATCTCTGAGATTCAGAGATTCAGTCGGTCTCAGTGATTTCATCTCAGAGCGATTTCGATTTCGATTTCAAAGCGCCAGAGCAGTCTCTCTCTCTCTAGATCTCTCTCTCTGTCAACCCTCTCAGAGATTTTTCTTTGAGATTCAAAGATTCAGAGATCAGTCTCAGTGATTTCATCTCAAAGCGATTTCGATTTTGAAGTTCTCTCTCTTGATTTCGAAGCTCCAGCGAGGTATCGATTTCTCTCTCTCTCAAGCTCTTCCTTCCCGTCTCTCTCGATTTGGTATTTATTTTCTTGGAAAACCTATTCAATTTCTTCTTTTGTTTGCTTTGTCATTCTTCCTTAATATGTTGTGTTTTTGTTTTGAGAAAATGCCAAATGTGCTTGTGATTATGACATTTGTTGGATTTGTTGGATTTGAGATCATTTTTGGACTTAGTTGATTATTTAGTTTTCTCAGATGGTGATCACAATGGCGGACGTTCTACTCATTCTGCTCATCTTGTTGAGGAAAAGTTGTCTGGCTCTTTCTCTATGAAGTATGGATTATTTCCCTCTCCGTAGTTATTTTATAATTTGGTTTCTTAATTTGTTCGAGTTTTCCTTGTGTAAATTAAGTTGCTAAAAGTACCTTGGAATGGCAGATAAACAAGCTAGTGGATATTGCTCGATCTGTAGCCAATGTAAACACTAACGACTACAGTGCCTTGGAGTATTTGCTTGACCTTCTAGAAAACCTAAAAAAAAAAAAGGTCCTTCTCTCTGCTTTTATTTTCAGATTTTGTGGTTTACCATCCTGTCATCCTGTAATAGTTTTGAGTGCAAAATATTTGTTAAGATTGCATTTTGTACCTCTTCATATCTTCTGCGTTGGTTTTATACTATTGAAACTAACAACGAGATTTTTTGGGATGTAATATGCAGTAATTTAGTTGCCAATAACTTCACAATAGAAAGTTCGAACAACAGGTGATTCTCTCGTTGCTGTATTTTTTTGACCTTGTTCAGTAGCCTTTGAACACTCAATGTTGCTAAAGGAAATTTCAGTCATTTTCCATTATATTGTTTAGTGTTTAACACCATAAGCTGGTAACCAGCACCTTTATCAGTAGTCAAACATGCATGTGCTTGATGCTGCTTAGATTCACCAGATATAACACCTTTATAATCAATTTGCATTCTTTGTCTGCTTTTAGTGTTCTGCCTTCAGGATTGAGCTGTCTTCAAAGGAACTTTCCCTGCCATCGTAGTGTTCCTGTCTGTAAGTGCCTTCATGACCCTTCTTTTGTGTGTTTGTGTGTGTGCGCGCGCGCGCGTGAGAGAGAGAGAGAGAGAGAGAGAGAGAGAGAGAGAATGAGGAGGTTTGGTCGATCTCAGATTTGAGGTGATGATGGAGATACGGGCGGCAGTAGTGAGGAACGTTGGTGGTGGTTGGAGAAGAGAGAAGAAGAGGAGACGATGATTGAGACGGCGACGGTGACGACGATCGTGATCTGAGGCGATGATGGTGGTGGCAATCTAAGGCGATGATAGAGACAGCGGTAGCGGTGAGAAGCCGGAGATGATAGAAGAGGAAGAGAGAGATAAAAGAGAAAGATCTAGGGTTTTGAACTGGTAGATGGGGATAAATTTGATAAAGATTGACGGGAAGGCAAACGCAATCTCATCGTTAAAATCGATGAGAGAGAGAGAGAGAGAGAGAGAGAGAAGAGTAGTGAGGAGAGAGAAAAGAGGAGGTGCGAGTCTAGCGCACACACACACACACACACACAGAGAGAGAGAGAGAGAGAGAGAGAGAGAGAGGTGAGGGTTTGAAGCCGTGAGATATATCAAATTTCTCTGTGATACATAGGTGTGGGGTTGAGGGACCTTAGACATCATAAAATAATATTATGAATCTTTTTCATTATTAAAAATGAGAGAAAGACCTTAGCCTAATTTTTTCTAAAAGAATTAATCAAATTTATGCGCTTTGACTATATCATTTTCTTATTGGGATATTTGTTATAGGCGATTAGTTGTAATAGAAAAGAGTTAGCCAATTAGTATGGCAATTGGTCTATTCATTCTTCGTCCACTGCTGGAAATTGGACTTTTAGTGGCATTTAAAAAATGCCGCTATATCTATCAAAAACGCCGCTAGTTCCTTTTGCGGCGTTTAGTACCAAGCGTCGAAGATGCGGTCGTCGATGTATCTTTACGATGTTTTAAAAACGTCGTGACATTAGTATAGACGGTGTTTTTTGAAAAAACGCGAAATGTCCCTACCATGACGTCACTATGTTTTTTAGCGACGTTTTCAAAACGCCGTCTTATATTTTTTTAAAAACTGACCGTTAGTTTTTTAGAGTATAGGTGGCGTTTTAAAAAAGCCGTGAAATCCTCTTCTTTTTTTTTTCTCTTTTTTAATTGTGCTAATTTTATGTGATTGAACTAAAAAAATACCTATAATAAAACTGAATAGCCTTAATATGAAATAATAATTCCCATTCAAATGGTAAATGCAATATTAATTCACTTTCTCATTCAATTTAATATCCAATCATCATTACCCACAAAATACCATATCCAAAAATTAAATTCACAATTCTCAACCAAAAAATCAACCTTCTTCTTATCAACACCAGCAGTCTTTTGGCAGCAAAAATCAACACCAGCTAAAAGTCACACACAACCTTGCTCATAACTCAAAAGCAATAGTAGCATAAAAATGTAACTCCGAAGCATAGATGGGCAGCTGCAAACACACAAAGCATTTAAGCATGTGTATTCCATAAGCAATGTTCTACAAGTAGTAATTCATTTTCAATATAACACCACAAAATAAAGCCTCCCAAAAGAACTTGTTCAGGTCTCAAATGAGCAAGAGAAGACATCTAGGAGAATGTAATAAACTGTGAGGCATAGTAAAACAAGTCTTGAGAGCTTAGCTCACACATTATTTGAACAAAATCAGGAGAGGAACACAATGATGCAGCAAAAAATTAGATGCCACTGAACCAGGTGGTCAATGACGCTTTGAAGAAGAGTAGGAATTGGCTGGAAAGGTGGGACTCCTGTGGAAGAAATACCAGAGAAGCTTTACTTACTCTTTTCATGTTTAGTTGTTGCTTCCTCTTCTATATGGCCAAAAATAGGGGCTCCAAGTTGAATTAACTGTCTTTTGTTCCCCTTCGTCTGCTGGTTGTATAGAATAAAGGTCTCACCTATACACAGTCATTGACATGAAAACTGATTAACTGTTGATAATATAAAAACACTTGCAATAATCATCATACATTCAAAAGACAACGTATATACATCACCAAAGACAAATTATGCAACTAGTAGAGCCCAAGAGTTTCAGCAATCCAATTGAAGTAACAATGAAGAGATAAATAATATTTCTACTTAAAAGTTAAATTAAACTGTTAAATTTATAATCTGTACATAAAACACAATTTCAAAAGCGCAACTAAAAATCCACAGCAACCTCCAAGGAGTATGGTCTGTACTTCAATCTGCTGCTTAAATTAAATAGTTGATTTTGTATTTTGTAATTTGTTTTATTTATTTTATTTTTTTTGGGGGTGTGTTTCGTACTTAAAATCCGCATCTAGATGAACCTCTGTGTAAGTGAGAAGTCTATTGAAAGAAAATAGAACTGTAATTAATCAGGGAGAGAAGAAAAACATAAAAGCCAAACCTGTTCAAAACAAAACTACAGAGGATGCCCTTTTACTATCTCAAAACCTTGTCCTGAAGGAAACAACAAGTTTAAATAAAGCCAACAAGCAAAGCAGTGATGCCCTAAAGGTAATATTTCATCAAAGAGCTTGAATTCAAATACACAGATGACCAGTTTATGAACTTTTCTTACTTTAGAGAAGGTTATGCGAGGATGGATCTACGTTAGCCACATTATAGATTGTTTCTACAAATTCAATAACTATAGTGTTCAAACAAAATCATCTAAGAGAGAACCATAAACTAATTAGGTGATTTGCCTATGTTATTAATGTGTATTAACAGTGCCGTCAAAATTGCATTTCAATGTTTTTCTTTAAGGTCTTTCAGCCTTCAAGGTCCTTGAGCTTTCAAGGAATTTCCATACAGTTAGAACATAGAACTTTTCTTGATTGTTCATGCTCCAAAAAGAGAATTTGGACTCTTTTCACACCTAAACTAAATGCCAAGAACAAACGAATACTCAATCATGGCAAGAGAATATTATACACCAACAAAAGTAGCCCTTGTAGTCTGTTTTCTAACCCACTATGCAACCCTATTCTAGTCCTAATAATCAAATGCACAGACAAAACAAAATTTATATTACAAATAAAATGGATAAACAATCTCACACAACTAACATGCGAAACCCCCACAATCCTCTGCACTGAATGGGAACAAGCATCTAGCAATATTTTATTATTTCCAAGTTTGTTCAGAGAGACAATGAACAATAATATCCAACAGCTACATAATATAGACAGATTGAAGCAAGTTTCAAACAAAATCCTAAAAGAGACAGATATTCAATTCTTTACTAATGTTTTTTGAACAGTCTGTGTGCATAAAAAATGAATTGTGAAGGCTATTTGCTTAGCTGTTTGATGATTTCTACCATGGATGAAGCTTTGATTTATGAAAATGATTATTAGCTTAAATAAGCAGCATGTTCAGATTTGATTGGTGTGAATGTTAGAATTGGTGAACACTTCGCAGGTTGAGGAGTTGACATTAAATTGTTACACCTACGGCTACGTCAATGTCACAATTGAGTTAATTATTTGTAGATTATTAGAAAACTAGTGATGTTAGAACTTTTACCTTGTTAGTTCTTCTTCTTCGTCTTCTTCTTCTCTTTCTTTGAAAGGTGAACCTATATTTAATCAGAACAAGTATTTTAATTAAAAAGATATTGTATTGTCAAAAAAGCTTTGATTAAACGATTGCTCACCTCTTGGGATGAAAATGCATGACATTGTAGTTGATGTGAAATTGGCCGAACAGTGGGATGACTACTAAGTGAATCAACAACCTATCATTCAATAAGAGGCTTAAGTTGTATAGTAGCTCTGGGCAATTTAAAGTAATAACTAGTAAAAATAATAAAAATACCTGCTGCCTATGTAATGGGTTCGAGGTTGCAACAACTGGTGCAATGAGCACGCCCGCAGCTTGTAATTGAGATTCCAAAATCTTAATTCGTGAATGAAAATCTGCGCGTATAGCCTGAATTTGTTTCTCCATTATGTCATTCATCTTCGAATCTAATTGCATTTGATACCGTTGAAGTTGCTCTTCAATTTGTTCTTGAACTTGAGTTTGGAAGATGTGATTCTGCTCTTGTGACTGCCTATATCTACCTCCAAAAACATCAGTGGGGGATGGTCCCAATCCAAATGTCTGAACACGACCAGGTCGCTCCGGCCCCATAACTTGTGTGAAAATCTGTTCATTTAATGGAGCAGGGTCCGAAGAAGATCCCTCTATGTGCTCCGTTAGCTCATTCATTTGAGTCTGCAATTTTGAATTCAATAATTAGCATCCAATATAAATCATATTAAAAGTCCAATAAAGTAGTATCACATACCATAACTTCATTAATTGAATCACTATTGGAAGTACCATCTTTCATGTATGCGGCCATCCACACCTGTGGCCGACTAGCAGGAACCCCATTGTTCTTTTTTGTCTCCTGTAAATAAAAGATAGATAAAACAAAACATGTAAGACAAAGATGAGAAGATGAATTTTAAAGATAATAAATTTCAATTTTCAATCTTATACATATTAAACTTGATTTAGTTTAGTTATAAGTTGAGCTAGCTAAGTTATAAGTTGTTTAACTTAAAAACTTAACAAATTTCAAAATATGTCCAAGATGTAATGTCTAATTATACCTCCACTCGAACTATCGAGAAAGGCTTTCGGCCTGTTCTATGATGCAGTGTCTTCTTCTTCCGAATTTTTCTATTCTTCTT